ACGCACGGATCTCTGCGTTGATGTGGGCTACCTACCTACTAGACACCACCCTCTGAAGCTTGTTGCGTTCTCTGGCCTGGAATGGCCGACTTTGCTCAGGCTCTGCATTTTGACTGTACACATGCGCGAGAAGAAAACTGATTAATATAAACTACAATTGATAAAATCCTGTCCCTGCCCGCACTAACCATATCCCACCGACACCTCCCTACACAAATCGCCCCACCGGCACATACTGGACTGTCGACAGCATGCGAAAGGCAAAGCCGTGGAAAGGGAAGAACTCGCAATACTCGAACATCTCACTGAACACGGTCAGGGCGTTGCACTGTGGGTAGTAATGTCCCGTGTTATTGTATAGCGCTAACTCTCGCGAGCGTTCGCGGATGTTGATGGCGCCTTGCAGCTCAGTGGGACAGTCGTCGACGTCTCTGTAGAAGTTATCCGGAGGGAGGTGGCCGTCGATGCAGTATACCTACACCGGTGAGAACAGGGTTTCGGGTTTTGGTTCGACAGTGAACGAGCCACTTCTCGATGTAAGGTGCAGAGTACTACGGGGAGGATTGAGGGTAGTGTAGTTGATTCAGAGTAGAAGTACGGCATAGCCAAAGTATATCCGTACCAGACGTCAAGGGTGCCGTAGTCAGTTAAGTTCCGGAGGAAGTGTTTATATACGCAATCACGTTAAACAAACGAACCACACAGATATGTATACTTTCAGGGTATGCTCGTAACTTTAAGTACAAAGCTAAGGTATGTGGGGAAATGCATTCTTGCCAGAAATATATACCCCATCAACCAGGGCACGAAAAGCACAGGCTATGGCAAAAACACACCGATTTTAAGGTCCTATTAAAAGCTTAAAGCATATAAATGTTGAATCCCATGCGCGCATTCTTGTGATAAGATGCTTTCATTATTCTGAAGCACAACATTACAGTTCTCAGTTTCTCATCAGTACAAATCGCACATTCCACCCATCTTACATAGTACACCGACATTGGCATGAGCGGTCTAAGAATTGAGTATAAACAGTATTCGTTTGAGGGACTCAATCTCATCTATTAAAAGATCCAGGTAGATACATAGCGATGGTATGCCACGATACGAAAATACACCTAATCGCATTTATGTACACACGTCAAATTTGGGCGATAAACATACATATGTGACACACACGCACACACACATACCTACATACATACATACATATATATATATATTATATACATATATATAACATATATATACATATACATATATATACATATATATATATATATATATATATATAATATATAATATATATATATATNTTAA